TGGTGGTGCTTTGTTTAAAAGAAAAACCGAGAGAAAAACAAGATAAAGAAAATCGAGTTTATGGAGAACAGCGTAAAACGCAGATTTTCGGTACATGCTGCTTGGAAAAGAATATCTGCAGGAGAGTTTTCTACATTTTTCCCTCATAGCCGTACTTTTTTCCAATTTTAGCAGACACCGCAGAAAACTTACGCAAACACCAAGCGACACTTGTTCCCGCAGCTGGAAAACGAATAGATTGCACGATCGGACCATGCTCGGATGCAGGATCGAAGTCGGATGGGAGCGGGGATGGACACGTGGCACGTGCCAGAAAAGGTGTGAAATACGTTGTTTGAAATGTATTACCATTCCCTTCTCAGACACTCGTCCGAATGTATGATCGGAAGGATGCATGATAGATGTGTCCCGGCCTTAAACATGTGCGCTGTACTGTACTCTCACATGAGTTTTTAGTACCATCCGGTGTGCCTCAGGGATCACACATCGGCCCAATTTTAATGCCTGGACACACTTGTCATACACCCCTCCGATCCGACTCTGGTCCGATGTTGCCCTAAGAATCGGATCGGTGCCGGATCGGAAAGGAGTGAGCACACATGTCATACTCGTTTCCGGTTTTTTTCCGATTTCTGGCTCTGGCTTGTAACACTCGCTACTCGCCATTTTTCATTCAATTAATATCGCAGAAGGTCCTACGTGTGCAAAATATTCGAAACTTTCAGCAGCTGCGATTTAGTCTTGGTGGCACTTGGTTTAGAAGGAGTAGATGAAGAAAATCAGAGATCTTTTATGGAGAAAAGCGGAAAATGCAGATTTTGGGTACATGCTGCTTGGAAAGGATGGTCTGCAGAAGCAGAGTTTTCTACACTTTTCCCTCATGGCAGTGTTTTTTTCCACAATTGCAGCTGGAAAATGAATGGATTGCGCGATCGGATCATGATCGGATGCAGGATCGGAGTCGGGTGGGAGTGGGAATGGGCAAGTTCGGAAAGTGAACTACGTTGTTTGAAGTGTAGTACCATTCCCTTCGCAGGCAGTCGTCCGATTGTATGATCGGAGTCGGATCGGAAGAATGCATGATAGGTGTGTCCCGGAATTTTTGTGCCTTTTATTAATGATGTCGTTGGTTGTTCCAAAAGTTCACGGTGTCTATTGTACGCCGATGACCTTGAGCTTTTTGCTACTGTGGACTCAGATTCCCAACCCCTTCCAACCCGTTCTGTATAGACTTGTTAATTGGTGTAACAGTAACCTGTTATAACTTAATTTCGAGAAGTGCAAGCACATAGATTTCTACAAAACAACGAATCCATTCCTGCACACATACTTTCTTTAAAATGGAAGATTGGAGACTGTTGATACGATTAAAGACTTGGGAGTCATATTCCAAAAAGATCTGTCTGAGACTGCTCGACTTCATCAAGAGAAACACCAGAGATATAATATATGATGTCAAAGCAATAACAACACTTTACTACAGTCTGATGCTACATTGGAATACTGTAGTATAATTTGGACACTTAAGTAACTAATAACTGAGACATCAAGACGATCCAAAGAGTTCAGAATAGATTTGTAAAATACTTGTTATACAAACTAAGATTTCCTTATCAGGATGTGGACTACAACACTCGTTTGCTGTTTGGTGGCTTAACTAGTCTGGAAAGTAGACGTCAGAATGCACAATTGATCTTTTTGTATAAGCTGATATTTAGTATTACTTGTTCACATTAACTTTTACAAGAAATCCGTTTCCTCGTCCCTGGCAGGAGAACTAGACAAAGGCAACTTTTTTCCAAGTAGTTCACAGAACAAATAATGGGCAAAACTGTCTGATGACTAGACTACTCACGAACTATAATATTCATTTCTTTCATTTGGACCTTTTCAATTCACCATATTAGTTAGGTTAGAATCGCAAATTGGCGCGGGTTCCTAGTTCAAAAATTAATACATTGATGTCTTATGGGGACTCAATTTTAAAAGCGTCTGTAGACGTGATAGAACGTTTGTTAGGGAAGTGAGTTGTATAAATAGTTTTTTTAATATGTTAATTAACTGAGAGAGTGTTTGAAAGTTGAATAAACATTGTAACAATGAAAATATTACCAATTTAAGAAGCCGATGTTTGTAGAAAATACGTATGTCGTTGCTTAATCCATAAGTATATATGTGGATACCTCCTATAATTATAATAAAATAAAAGTGTACCTACATACTTGGTTAGTAGATGTACTTCAATAATCCAAAAAAATGGAAAAAAAAAAATGACTGAACCAGTGATTAATAAATAAATAAACAATTCACCAACGATCATAACACAACACACAACCTCACTTTCTTACGGCCGGTTTTAGACCCGACGTACGTCCACCGAAAACAGACACATTTAATTAAAATCATTTGTATTTTTAATTTATAGGGCTAAAAAAACAATTAAAGCATGAATTATTGAGAAATATGTTCAAAGTTTGACGTATAACAGGTTCAAATACTAAGAAATGCCCAGAACCCAAGATATTCCCGTCTGAAAATCACTCTTTTGAATCCCCCATAAGAAATACATTGCTGTCAAATTTGTTGAAATATGCGAGGAAATATGTTTAGGAACCCATTTTAAATTTCGCGCCCGATTTTTCCTAACCTAACTAATATGGTGAATTTAATACAAATCTGAGTTCAGTTAAAAAAGCTATAGCTTACTGACTTTTTCTTGCTTTTATTATCTTAGTTTGTTTTTGTTTTTAGTTTTAAGTTCTGCTAATGTGTATCATTTAGATATTTTTGCTCTGTTGTTATACACTTACACAGGATTTGAATTTAAAATGCTTCTTTATTATTTTTTGAACATAACGTCGGTCTCCGCACGTAGTGGCGTAACTAGCATTTTGTAAATTTTCCAGGAGAGGAAAAAAACGAAAGTGAAAAATATTAGAACCCTGCTAATTGTTGTTTTTTTATTTGATTGCTCAATAGTTAGGCTTTACATAGATACTAATAAGAAATTGTAAGCCTTTCCGGTATTCCGGAAAAATAAATATTTAGAACAGTTACGCCTCTATGTGATAATGTTTTTTTGAAGTTTTTCAGTTACGCCAAAATAATATATTTAGTTACGCCTCTACGTTATATTTTTTTGCTGAATAGTTTCATTTACGCCAAAATAGTTTTCCCAAAAAAAATTAAAAAACACAGTCAAAAATGAATAATTCTATTTAGAAACTGGCAATGCACTATCACAATAAAAATAATATATTAGAAAAATAATAAAACTAACCAAATTCGAAAAAATTCTCACAAACGGTCCGCTTCTAGGCAAATACTGGAAACTGGAAGCTAAATTTTCCTAGGTAATGTTATGAGTATAAAAACATAAAAACATGACTCGCAGATTGTAGATACGCCACTGCAAAAAATTATTAGATAAAAAATTTTCAATCTCACGTAAGGGCGTAAGTGAATATACGCCTATACGTGGAAAATGAATTATATTATCTGGCAGATACGCCAAAATCTAAAAATCAAATTCCAGCAAAACAGTTACACCTATACGTTTAATAATGCTTGAGGTTATAGAGCACCTAAAAATATGTATTTTACTAGCGTAACCCAAAATTTTCCATTTTGTCAGTTACGCCACTACGTGCGGAGACCGACGATAAGTTTAACGTAACAATAATATACCCTATAATATTCAACCAGCTCGTTGTCAAAAACCTGCGCATGCCTATTGGATGATTTTTTTGGCGTTATTCGAAATAGCGCTCAACGTAAATGTTGGGTAAATTACGTTATGCGGTAACGTTATTTCAGTACGTAGTGTTAAAAATCGAATCGCGCATATGTTTTAATGTCAAAATAACGTTGGCGCTAATACTGCATCATGCTATTTGGGTTACCGATATCTCTCTATTATCATTGGCTACCCTGTATAATATCTCTAACATTTGCCGTTTTACACCTTTTTGACTCTGTAGCTCCACTATCTCCAGTGGATGTTGATATTGATGGTTCTTCATTGCGGAATACACATGTATTATTGTAAAATATCATCTCTCTGTACTATTTGTCTGTAGATTCAACTTGTTTTCTAAATAGATATTGACAGTGGGACATGCGCGTACCCCACGCTGACTATGGGAAAAAAAATCTGTTGGTAAATAATGTATAAATATATCCCTCCAATTAGAGTCTATAACAGAAAATTAATTGCATAAGAGTATTTCATGGCATATTTGTCCAATTAATTGGAATTTAATCGTTCAATATTAATGCCAATTTAGTTTATAAAAATATTCATAATAATTGTTGAGGGAGGGGTGTATAATTATTAATAGACAAAATAAATTATGTAAAAAATGTAATTGGTTGTTATTGTCATGGCCACCCATGAATTTGATGTTTGACATTTTTCTAAATACTAGAAGTACCGTACCAAAGCCATCCAAAATTATTGCATTTAGTATATGTATGCTTTCTTTTGACGCAAAAATCCAAAACTTTTTTCTCCAGATTACAGACATTGTAGAGAAAATCCATCTCTACAAAACCATGTCTTTTTACATTTTCTATTTTAAGACAGTAAAACTACAATTTATAAGCATCACTAAAGCGAATTTGTGGCTGTTCCACCCTTTGAATTTACAATGAAAAGATCCAATTTTTCTCGAAAAAAGAACCTCAGAGCTGCAACAACTGAAAAATAAATCTTAAACATGTCAACGCACCAAGAGGATTTAGAATTACTTTCGTATCCATGCAACGGTTTATTTTCTAGTTTCCTTCTTAATTGGGTATATCGGCCCCTTGAAGCATTTTCCTGAAAAGTAATTCAATAAAAGTTGTTTGTGTCCGTTTTGTTTATTTGTCTTGTTTCAGACTGATAGAACTTTTTATAGGAAGGGAAGACTGTATATTAAATATTTTCATACAGTTGAAATGAACTTAAATTGCTTTCTCTAAGATAATGAAATTTTGTATTTGTTTTTTTTTTATAGTGATGCAGATCTACGCTGAGGCGTGGAGAGGCCTGCTCCTGGGCATGCCTGCTCTCAGGCCACCGCCATTGAGTCACCCGCGGGTATGGTAGGACTTTGGGGCGTAGCATTGGCAGCGGCGGCCTGGCTGTGTCTGGCTGCGGGACTGCCAAGGGGCCTCCCTGGGCTTAGACCTCCCAGTTCAGGGGCTCTCTTGGGTCAGTACCCCCGGGCTGGAGAACCTTCACTCCGTCTTTCTCACATGGCCATCGATTACAAGACGCGCAGGATTTATGTTGCCGGTAAGCGTAATTACGTACTATCTCTTTATCTGTAGATTCAACTTGTTCTCTATGGCAGTAGACTTTATAATACTAAATACGCCGTGTTTCGCATTTCTTAATCTGCAACAGATGCGATAACTTGTAAGGTTTGTTTTCCTAATTATTCCTCTGCCAAACTGAAAAGTTGCAGCATTGACAGGAAAAGGGATCATAAGGAATTTTGTAGAAAGTCTATTAAAGAAGCGTGGGGATTCAAATAAATAAAATTCCATTCGAGTCACGTCTCCAAACACCCGTTTATCATCGACGTCAAAATAACTTTGTAAAGACCAAAGGCGGATCTGTGAAACATTTTAGATATTAGTCAAGCTCATATGTTCTGCAAACATGCATCCTGATTCATTCTTTTTTTTTCAGGTGTTAATGTCCTTCTTCAACTGGACCCCAATTTGAACTTGGAGCACTTTGTCATAACTGGTCCGAAAAACGATAGCCCCCTATGCCATGCCACTGGCTGTACCGATCCCGAAATTCGGCTCTCGCTTATGGACAATTATAACAAAGTTCTTCTCGTCGAACCCGAATCGAGAAATTTAATTACATGCGGTTCTCTGTACCAGGGTGCCTGTTCTAAATACCGACTAAGCAATATTAGTGCAGAAGCTAAGTTTATACCTAAAAGCGTTGCAGCGAACGATGTAAATGCTTCAACTTACGCATTCATTGGTCCAAAGAGCTATAATCCTTGGGGTAGGTCGAATATCCTTTATGTTGGTACCACGTTCACCAACCAAGGAGAATATAGACATGACGTGCCGGCGATAGCGAGTAGGGACCTGGATTCTATGGAGTACGCGGAGTTTTCATTTAGCAAACAGTCTATGGTCGAAATTGATGTTAAATATAGGGATCATTTTATAGTTCAGTACATCTACGGGTTTAATGCGAGTGATTACGCGTATTTCGTTATCGTGCAAAAACAATCTCATCTTCCCGGACAAGAAGAGCAAGGGTATGTGTCGCGACTAGCAAGAACTTGTATTAACGATCCGAACTACGATAGCTATACAGAAGTGACTTTGCAGTGCGTCGATGGTGATCAAAAATATAATCTCGTGCAGGACGCAAAGATGACTTTAGCTGGCGAAGAGTTAGCCAATGTCATGGGGATAGAAGTAGATTCACCTGTATTGATAGCCGCGTTCAGGCCTGCCCGCGGTATTACGAACGAGCCACAAAATCATTCGGCTCTTTGTATATTTTCGCTTAGAGAAATTGAAAATAAGTTCATAGAAAACATACATATGTGTTTTAATGGTAGCGTTAAATACAGGTGAGTTATTAACTATATTTATTTATTAATTATATTTTGATAAATATGCTCAACATTGTTGACGCGTCATTGATAAATATGACGCGTCAATTATGTTGACTCAACATAATACGCAACCTTTGAACAAAATTAATTCTCCATGTCAGTCAGTGCTTCTTTTTCTAATAAAAGAGAATTGCAGAAACAGGGTAGCTATCTACCTGGGTTGCGAGATGAACATAAATTAATTAACTGGCCCAGCCAAAAGTAATTTCGTTTGTATATTCCCATTTTCCAGTATTTTTTCCTAAAACAAATAGGTTTCTAATTATTTCACATTAATTAGATGCAATTACAATAGTAATTGATAAAAAACTCCTGTGAAAACTATAAAAATCAACTGGATCTTGGTATTTGTAAACGCGGGAACAGGAAACGATGCACTGAGGATCAAGAAACTTGTGTGACTGGGTAAATAGATAAACTTGGAGATTAGGGAAACATGCCCAGAAAGCGAATTAAAAAAGTCTTTCTTATACCTATGAAAAAAAAAACTATCTTCTTTGCACCTAGATCGTGTTAAAATTTATATACAATGTTCTTAGTCGAATAAAATTCCTAGTCTTACAAGCTTTTATTTATAGCTTTTGAACTACTTCTTAGTGCTGTTAGGAGGTGTTCATTTTGCCTTTTCACCTTTGACAGCTGCTTTGTAAATTTTTGTTTTGAAGGAAATTTGAGTGTCCCTTTGGACTTGGTTTATTTGTTTAGATGGTCAAGTTAGAGAATGTTTTCTTCTCTGCAAGTTTATCTATTATTTGTAGAAAAAAATCTATGCGCTGGAAAATGGTTTCCAACATCTTACCCAACTGATTGATTATTATTATGTAGCTCTTACAATCATAAGTCAAGTATGTATGATTTAAGGATCATTTATGCTTACTAATAATGAGTAATAGGAATAAGTAATAAATAATAAGAAATAAGTAACAAGTAATAGTATATACTCAAAATAATAAATAATATAAATGCGCCTACTTTTGGGCGGAATATGAATAATAAGTAATAAGACACTAAAGTTAAAATTTCCCTTTCCCTGAATAAACCTTTACTTTTAACTTTTATTATAATTCCTTATTATTTATTACTTATTCTTATAACTTATTATCAGTGAGCATAAATACGCCTATAAGGACAGTCAACTGTGTTGATCATAATGGAAACCCATGGTTTCGAAAGTTGTCCAAATTAAAGCCTTTAAAACAAAACAAACATGCATTACAGAGTTTGTTTTAAAACTGTCTTGAGCAAGTTTAAAATTGCGTTTAGGAATGTATTAGTGGATTTATTATGCATGCACGAATAAAATTTTAGACTTAAATTAATAAATGGCATATTTTTGCAGAAATATGGGTTATATCTCAGGTCCAGTCCTGGACGGCAAATGTCCAGCTAGTGGCTCAGCCGGTAACATTCCAAATTTTTGTGGTGACGTAGGCCTAAAAATCAGCGGTATCATTCCAATTACCACAAATGCAGCCCTTGTTTTTCCCAACATTTCATTATCAGCGGTTGCTACAGCTTCGACTGGTAGACACGTAATGGCTTTTCTTGGTACTACTGATGGATTCATCAAGAAGGTACTTCTCAATGGACCAAACCCTCCAGAGTATGAGGAAGTTCTTGTTGATGCTGGAAATCCCATTATGCCCGACACCACTCTTTCACCTACTGGTGATTATTTATATGTTTTATCAAAATCCAAGGTAAATTTTTTTTCATATTTTTCGAAATGTGTGAAATTCCTTGAAAATCGGAAATGTTTTAGAAAATATTCAGTACATTTTAAAGAGCTTTTGGGTGGGTACTAATTTTTTTTTTGAGTAGTTCTCTGTTGACACGTAATCCTTTTTTAAAATATTATAGGAAAATTATTATTCATTAGTTGCATTTTTTTAATAAATTTGTAAGCATTGGTATATTATCATTAAGTTGTTTTTCAGAGCGGCATTACTTGTACTTAAATTTGATAATTTCAGAACAAAAATGTAAGAAATAAAAGCTTTTAAAATTATGTGTCATTTGGAAGCCATTTCTTATTTAAGATTTGTTGAAAGGGGTCCCTGGCGTGCTGGGGGTGAAAAGAAGTGATTTAATGTTTGCAGAAAAATTGTTCCCTCGCTGAAAATAACGGAGAAGTTTTTAACAATTAAAAAAAAATCTATTTCAAAATGCTCTGAACGAGGAGTAAACCGCAGGCGAAAATTTGTACCCTAGAATTCCACGTAATTTCATGCGGTTTACCCCTGGGTTTTAAATGAAAATATCACTTGCTAGAAAAATTAAATAAACCAATTTGTATTGCCAAACCGCACTAATAATACATCGTCAACTGGTACAATCTGCTTATAATTAAAAGATTAATCTAATATTTGTTCTTGATTAAAAGCTGTTTTTTATTTAGTTACTGTTGTTCAAAAGTTAACGTCGATATTATGAGAAGAATAGTTGTGTTTGTTATGACGATATTTTCAGTTGTATTTTTCACTCTACAGGTGTCCAAAATAAATGTCGAACACTGCAGCACATACACAAATTGCTCCGCCTGTTTAGAATCAAAAGATCCATATTGTGGATGGTGTTCTTTGGAAAAACGGTAAGATTTCTGGGTTCTACCTATTTTTGAGACTAAGTTATGTTACAATTTGAAGATGTACTGTACGTAGTACTTGTCAAAAAGCTTCGCATAGTGCTCCACGTTGGTTATCCCTTGGAACTGGTCAGCAATGCATTGAATTTGAACAAGTGCAACCAGAACGCATTCCGATTAATCAAATGACTACCGTCCGATTAACTATAAGAACTTTACCAGAACTTCCATTTGGAGCTAAATACAAATGCGTATTTGGTTCTTCAGAACCTATTGATGCCCAAGTAACAGAATTTGGGCTTAGCTGTCCTACTCCTGACATCTCTAGGAGGCCAAAAATTCCTTCCAAAATGGACCATATTCTGGTGCCACTTAGCGTACGATCGTCTGAAACAAATAAGGATTTTGTATCAAGAAATTTTGCTTATTACGATTGTGAAAAGCACACAACCTGCGGAGAGTGCGTAAGATCGAAATGGGCTTGCAATTGGTGCGTTTATGAAAATAGATGTACGCATAATATATCGAATTGCCAAAGAAACGTCATTAGCGGTGAAAATGTAAGTTTTTTTTTTTGGTAAATCTTAATTTTTATGGAACTTTATTTGTTTGTTCAGAATCCAAGTACTCTGCCCAATCATGGTTATGCCTATTGTCCACAATTTAAGAAACGAGATGTGATACTACTACCTAACAATGTTCTTAAAGAAATTGTATTTGAGGTCAAAAATTTGCCCCATCCCCAAGCTGGCCACATTGGCTTTAAATGTATAGTAGTTATAGAAGGTGCCACTATGTTAGTTCCTGCAAGAGTTGACGCTGATAGATTTATTGTATGTGATAAAACGACTGTAAGTATCAAATAAGTGATTAATTTCCCAATAAACGAATTTCATGTAATATTTTGTTCTATTAGTATTCATATGAAGCCAACGAAGGTGAACATGAGGCTAGTGTAAAAGTAGTATGGAACAGAAACCACCATATAGATTCTATTAATGTTATTTTGTACAAATGTGATATATTGGGGTCTCATCGGGAGCACCCTGACTGTTCATTGTGCGTTACTAGAAATTCTAAATATCAGTGTACCTGGTGTGGCAACTCCTGCCAGTATGCAGAAACCTGCTTGCATACGCCACATACCGAATGTCCCAGGCCTAGGATTGATGTGGTAAGTAATAATAATTTCTCTTATACATTATTTTAATATTCTTCACTTTTAATTGATAATAAGTATTGGATATCGCTGAGAAGAAAAATTTCGACGCAATACATAAAATAATTTCCTTTAGAAACGTTAGTTTCAATTAGTTTAGAATATTTCTATTTAGTTTTGCTTGAAATTTTATTTTCGTGTATGGTTACATACTATAAGTCCTCTAAATTTTAATTTTCAGTGATATTTTTACATCATTGCTGTCATGTCAACATTTTTTTTCTTTGGGTATGTTTGCTTCTCTTCGTTTCTGCTATTTCTCTAATATCTTCTCGATAAAGCTGTTTTTGAGTTTAAATTTGATTTATTGAACTGCTTTGTTCATAGTATAGTGTAGTGTTACTCCGGGGAAAATGTATTTCTATTTTTCTGGCTGAAACATACGTGTGAATGAGTGACAAGGCAATTTTTATTATTATGCATTTTACCTGATCGAAATTATTGCTAGACTTATTATATTTTGGGTTTTTCCAATGTCTCCCTTCTGATTAATTTGGTTGCTCAAAACTCTCTTGATTCTCATGTAATGCACTTGCCTCGGTTTAATTTTCTATCTCGTTCTAAACATTAATATTCTTGATATGAATTATTTTGCACGTGAATTCAAGCAAAAAGTAAGTGATTGCCCTTAACAAAATTGAAGTGCAAAGCCGAGTGAAAAGCTTGGCAATTAATCTTAGTCGTAAGTTTGAAGCCAGGGCAATGGACAGTTGAGTTTCTAGTTAATTAATGTAAACAAGTTAGTTTTCATACACAATCACAATATTATTTACATTCATTTTACTTTAGTGCTTTCTTTGTTATAAATAGATAGAGTGGAGCAGAGTATAAGAGAAAAATGACTGTTAACAGAGGCTTGATATTCTCATATACTTAAAGCTGTTTGAATGTTATTAATTAAATTAAATGGAATTGCAATTAAACTTGTTCAGCTTAAATTATATAGTTTATTTTAGGTCAGTTCAACATCAAAAATTAAAACTTGGTTATTTTTATGATCCTCTTGTTTTTTTAATGTTTTTTCCCTGGCTTCAATGTGAATATTTGATTGAAAGTTATTTACTAATTTTCAACGACCCAATAGCTGTGGTTAAGGCATCTATTTGGGGTGCTATTTAGTTATTCTCTATTTTTTTTTCTAGATTAAACCACTTAGTGGACCCATTGAGGGTGGAACTTTGGTAACAATTGAAGGTAGCAATTTAGGTTTAAAAAAAGAAGATGTCCAAGGCAAAATCCGAATAGGTGATGTCCCTTGTAAACTAGTCAACTATGAAGTATCAGTTAAAATACAGTGTGTGACAGGGCCTTCGAGAATAGAACACGCTGCGCCTATAGTTGTAGGAAATGAGGCTGGTTATACTAAATCCACAGTTGAATTCAGTTATCAGGATATAAAATTAATTGGAATATATCCTGCTATAGGCCCACAGAGTGGCGGTACTTTATTAGCAATAACCGGAAAATATTTGAATATAGGTTCCGAAATCACAGCATATTTGGATAATAATATTTGCACAGTTAATCTTACTCAAGCCTCCAGCGGCCGATTAACTTGTATAACTTCAAAGGCTACAAAACCATCAAATATTGCCCAACTTACATTAAGTATCGACGGTGCTAATCGCACCTTGGAAGGGAATCCTTTTAACTACACTCAAGATCCGACCATTATGGAAATAAAGCCCCTGAACAGTTTCGTGTCTGGAGGCAAAATGATATTTGTTCATGGAAATAACTTGGACAGTATCCAAAAACCAGAAATGGAAGTTTATTCTTATAATGAACCTAATATTCCAATAAACAGTACAGTCTGTACTGTGTTAAGTTCTACACAAATGGAATGCCCTAGCCCTGCTGTGAATAGAGTATTTGATGCTTATAGTATGAGGTCTAAGAGAAGTTTAAGGAAACCGGCAGCTATAAAGGTAAGAGATCATAATTATATATAATTTTTAATTTTTTTTTTTTACGAAACATATTTAAATGACATACTAATACAACTAAACATTTTAACAAATTTTGATGAAATTTTTACTTATTCTTTGTTTTTTCTTGTCAGATGAAAGAGCCAAAATTAATACTAAAAATCGGATTTATTATGGACAACGTACAATCGGTTCGTAATCTAGAGAAACATTTTCCAAATTTGCGTTCGTCCATTTTATATGTAGAAGATCCGAAATTTATACAATTCCCGAATCAAATAAAACTTTACAAAGGAGATACACTTGTGATAGAAGGTGAAAACTTAAATGCAGCTAGTGATGAGGCTGACGTAGTTGTAACAATTGGCAGTAAACCTTGTAACGTAACTAGTTTAGCCATGTCCCAATTAGTGTGTTCACCGCCTGAAATGCAACCGACTGATACTGATGAAAATGGCTTAAAGGTGAGAGGCTTAAATTATTCTGAGATTAATTAATTTTAATTCGTTTCGAAATTCTAGACTGACACAAATCTTCCTTTGGTTGTGGTAAGAGTAGGTAGAAGTTTAAGATTCCCCATAGGATATTTAAAATACGATTTATACAAAACCTTCGCTTTTCCTCCAGAAGCAATAATTTTAATAGTTGCTGGTATTTTGTTGTTTGGTTTCTTCTTTGTGGCTGTACTTTTTGTTTACCGAAGAAAATCTACTCAGGCAGAGAGAGAATATAAGCGAATCCAAATACAAATGGACACGTTAGAGAGCAATGTTCGGTCAGAGTGTAAATTAGGTAAGTAAATTTGGATTTTTTACTATTATAGTTGTTTTAATGAAAATAATGTTCTTATATTCAAGCGTTTTTTACAGCTTTCGCAGAGTTACAGACTGACATGACTGATTTGACGGCTGATTTAGAAAATTCAGGAATTCCTACATTAGATCACACTACCTACATCATGAAAGTCTTCTTTCCAGGTGTCAGTGATCATCCTATATTAAATGCACTTAAGGTAAGCAGCAATCTAAATAATTTGGACTATGACAAATATGTAAATTATAATTTGGTATCACATGAATTTATGTGAACCTAAAAGCACCTATACAAAAATAAAGCTTTCTAATATAAATTTGATAAATCTAAATAATTGACACTTACTGGACACTAGATTAAGTTGTTTGGTGTAGTATTTTTATTCTGATTTGAAACACTGCATTATACGAGGATATTTCAACATCACAGCACTCTCTTCTATTAATTTTTAACTTAATATACCGTTCCCTGTACAAAATATAAGTAGCCAGCAAATATCGCTCCAGTGTCATCCCAATTTACATATTATTTGCTGTTTTATTCCAGGTATTATTTAGTTGTGTGGTTTGATATCGAGTATCACCCGAGGTATAACCATTTGAAGAAATAAAAATTATGTAATAATAAATAATAATAATAATAACGTTTAATATTTACCATACATAGATTATTCCTAAATATATAAACAATATAGTAACAATATAGGGTAAATAAATGCCAGTGTATCGGACTCTTGCGTACAATGCAAGTTCTGTCCTACCTACACGGCAAAAAAATAATAATAATCAATTCATTCAAATAATAAACCCAAACTAATAATTGTACTTACTTTATCGGCAATACAACATGGGCCAAAAAACAATGTCATTTATGTTACAATGTCATTGGCGTTCCAGTAATCTTTGCTTTAATTTTTTCTTAAATGTGTCAAGGGAATCATGGCATTATATTAATAAGGTGATAAGAAAAGGATTTTTTGAAAAATTGGTTCCTATGTTTGGGTATTGTTGATGTATTTCTCCGCAAATTTAAATGGGGAACATCAGTACGGAAAGTAATTTCGTTATAAATACGGAGGAGACGGTGCTTTATAATTTTGGAGAACAATAAGCCAGAATGCAATTTCCTTTAATCCTTCTATTAAACATATTAAGCCATTTAAGATCTTTAAGTTTCTGAGATACTCGATCACGTCTTCTTCTCATGCCAAAAATAAATCGAATGCACGAGATTTGCATCTTTTGAATTCTATGAAACTCACGACTATCCAGGCATGGCCCGTATACTACATCACAGTGAATAAAATTATGATTAAGAGAAGTTCGTGTCCTATCGGTATCCAATGAAGGGGGGTGATTCGTCGGTTGGGACAAAAAATAAAAGGCCTGTTAAGTCTTTGCCAACGTTTCGCCCAAAAGTTTAGGGCTTCATCAGGGCTAAAATATATATTAGGGACATCAAAAAAGTGCTAACAAAAACAAAATTACATACCTTGTACTTAAAAATTATAGAAAACTAGCTAATGACCCGCTGCGTTGCCAGCGTGAAAATATATTTTGAAATAATACACTTTTTTTCAAATTTTGTTGTTGATTTTCTATCTAATTTTTTTTTTTTATCCGATACCAGAGTCGCTTGCCAGTGAGTTCAGTGACGCATTTTAAGCACTCCAGAGCTGTTCTAGATCAGAAGAAGTTCACTTAAATTGAACCCAAATCGATCTAATCTGGGTCAATCGAATTCAGCTTATATAGAGATACGTGGCCGTTCTCGAATTCAAAAAATAATAAAGCTACGTCGGTTGAATGGCAAGCCTTTCATACTGTCAAAAAAAAAGTTGGGCTATGTTGTTATGTAATGTGAATGAGTTTGTTTACAATTAAATTAATAATTAATTCAAAATTAATTTATTTTTCCTAGATGCGTAACCTATCCACAAACCTTCCTTAGGATGGCCATAACAATCTACCAAAGTTTCATCGTAATCGGATAAGTGGTGTAGGAGCGCATACCCGGATACCCCTGGAACTTTGATTTTTATATATATAGATAGTGCGAGATTTTCAGGACGGAACACTCGATTGCACATAACAAAATCACAATACATTGATAAAATTGTAAAAAGACAGTAAAACAACAAAAATATAAAAATATAAGAGATAAAATAGAAAAATTAAAAAGGACAAGGACGGTTACAGAGATATAAGCAAAACAATGACAAACCAATTATTATCAGTCAACACAGTGACACCTAACGAGAAGATTCAAAAATTGTTATTATTGGCTATAAAAATTAACTATAAAGATAGCAACAAATTATAAATTGATCAAATTACAATAGATGGCGCTTAAATTATTAGTATCAGTTTTATAGTTAACGTAAAATTCTCTATTTTTCAATTCACTGCTGATTTTTACTGGAAAATACACGAAAAATACCAAACACTGCATTCGCTTTGTCTGCCACATATACAATGGCGGCGTGGTAACAGAATCGAATCAGTGCGCCTATAGGATGCGCGGTATCCACTCTCTTCCCTAATCTAAGGTTTACACAATACCATTATTCGTTCAAAGTTTGCATTCATATACTGAGGGTCAGACAGTTGTTTTGCTCTATGTTTAAGTGATTTAATAATAGCCACCTTTTGTGTGATGCTATGTGATGAATTAAAATTAATAATTCTTCCTGATGCTGTTGGTTTCTGATACCAATCAGTAATAAGGTTGTTATCAAAATCCCTGATGACAACTACATCAACGAAGGGTAGCCTTAACCCTTTGTCTTTTTCAAGAGTAAATTGGAGATTCTAATGGAATTCATTGAATACATTTAAGACTATGGTCGGGTATGGCTGTGATAACATCATCTACATATAAATACAAGAAGGGAAGTTGAAAGGGTAATTTAGGGATGACAGTTATGAGGAGCTCGTTCATCACCATCTTAGCCAAAATAGGTCAAACCGGGTCACCCATTGCCGTACCAAAAATCTGTTTGAAAAATTTGTTGTTGTAGGAGAAATAACTTGACTCGAAGATGAAGGCGACCAATTCAACAAAAACCGCAAGTTCCATAGCTCATGCCTCAATATTTCCCCAATGTTTCTCTTATCAGATTTAATACTAAATCTTTGGGAATATTTGTGAACAATGAGGTGTTATCCATGGTTGAAATGGGTTTTTGCGTGGGGTAAAAGTCTTAAGAGGAGTATGAATATTAAAAATATTTATTGAAGCAGTGTTTAAAAAAAAAAAAAAAAACCTCGATTCTCGTTATGTTATAGATATTGTTAAAAGGGATTGCCTGCAGATCCCTTTGAAATAAATTCAAGTTAATGTCTTTTAGATTTCTACGTATTATTGTATTATTATTTGGTTTAGTTTGGTGTCACACTTGTGCTTCGCAGTAGACCAAAAAGTGTTCAGCTTTTCCATCCATAGACGCGTTTCGACCTATCAGGTCTCATCAGTATGGCTAGGAAAAGCAAAGAAAACCAATCCAAGTTTTGTGCCTGTATGCAAAATAGAAGTAGTAAGGCGGTCGAAATTTGATCGTGGCGCCATCTAAGACAAGGATTCAACGCTAAACAGCAATTTTTGCTGTAATTAGTGATGCCATCTAATAGGCCGACCAAAAATCAGTTCGTTGGGAAAACCCAAAATAGGAAAAAAAGATTTCTCCTTATTATAATACACTGATGAGATTTTTTTTTTTTTTTTTCTCATCAGTGTATAATAAGGAGAAATCTTTTTTTTTCTATTTTGGGTTTTCCCAACGAACTGATTTTTGGTCGGCCTATTAGATGGCATCACTAATTACAGCAAAAATTGCTGTTTAGTGTTGAATCCTTGTCTAGGATGACGCCACGATCAAATTTCGACCGTCTTATAATTTGTAAATATCAAATCGATAAGTGAAAAACTTGATTTTGTTACTCTTGTTGGTTCAGTAACAATTTGCTGTAATTCAAATGGCTCCATTGTCAAGATTCACTGCTTAGTTGCAACATTGTCACACTGTAAAATGTCTATGTTGAAATCTCCCACACAAAATATATTATTATACAAAGAGTAAAGATTCGAAATGATGTCTTCCAATCTTTCTAAAAAGAGATTCACGTTGGACTTGGGAGGTCTATAGATAGTTCCAATGACAAAAATTTCCTTTTTTACAGATATTTTAACCCAAATGCACTCAAGAAATTCGCAACTCTCAGAAAATAGAATTTTATACCCAAGATGCTTTCTAACATAAAGAGCTACACCTCCTCCGCGTCCATACAACCTATCACTTCTCTGTCCAATTTTACACAATCGTCCGATATATTTGGAGAAAGCCAGCTTTCTGTTACGCCAATAACATCAAAATTCCTATACATAATAGAGGTTTTAAATTCATCAAAATGAGAAACCGGGGTGTGAAACCTGAGAAGACATATTTATAATATCACTGCACGAACAATACTACACAGTATCTATAATTAAATTATATTATTCAGATTAACTACGTAGGTCCTCTAAGATCGTCTCATTTTACATAACAATCAAATCATCATAATCGTTCTTCCGAGCCAAAATTTTTCCATTTCTGTGCCATACATAATTTGAGCCATGATTTTTGGGTTGTAACTTTGCCCTTTTGAATAGCTGGTTGGTTTGTTGAGTTAATTCCTCTTCCAAAAATATATAACCAGTTGACTCACCTAGACCCACAGCTCTACTTGTTATGCGACCCTTCTTCACGGGTGCATCAATGATCATCTTCTTAGTTTCAGAGTTTTCCACATTAGGTACAACCTTTTTACCGTTGCCCTTTGTAAGCATGTATTTAATGCTGCTGAAGACGGCCTCTGGCACGTTGACGTCGATAAAGGCATAATTTCATAACAGTAGTAGCCCTGTCTTTCTCCTTTTGCCATAAACCGGTTACACAAATATTGCATTTTATTTTGTTTTGATCCAGGATGTTATGGTCATCCTTGATACGCTCGCGGTGTACCCCTTGTGGAAGGAAATTGTTCTCCTTGGAGATTTCAGTGATCATGTTTGACATTACCTATTACCATATTTTTCGTTCAGAAATTCCATTGATTTACGCACTTCTCTAAGTTCACCCTTCAGCTCTCTTATCAGCATTTTGAGTTCTACATCTTCACCGGGTTGGCAGAAAAGTGTAGATCTACGAGAGGAACCATTAAAATATGTAGTGTCAGTGCATTGCGCACAATTCCATGATGTTTTTTCCGCCTGCATCACCCTTGCGTCAACCTCTGTTACACCTCCACACTGTTACAGGTACCACACTGTAGTTTAAATTTATTCCCTATAGAGGCTTTACAGTCTTTGCATGTTATGCTTGCCATAGCCAACTAGCGATTTAACAAAAATAATTCAACAGCGGCAGCTCCGCAGCCACAACACAGTGTTATTTATTCTCACGGGCTAAAAGTACAAAGTGCAATCCGGTACCAAGATTAAAAACGGCAATTTTTGAACAAAGCCAAATTCCACAGTGAAAAAAATTACACACACGCACCCTCTACCTCATACACCATCGAAATATGATCAAAAAAATATTAATTTTGAACTATAATAGCGAATTTAACCGATTTTCAGCACATCAATAAATATCAAATCGACACGACATCGATGCAAAAATACCGATATATGTGACGCCCATGTCCTTTATTTGTTTGATGTATGCCGACTAGATGTTTTTTTAGTGCCTCAATTTGGATTAAAAATACTATACAGCAATTGTCAACTTAATTCATTAGGTATTATTTTAATTTGTCAAAAAGATTCAGGATTAGGCATTTCAATCTCAATTTAACTAAAATGGCTTAAGCATGTATCACTTCAAACTTTGTTATGAAAGTGGCCCTGTGAAATAAAATGAAGTATCCTTTAAAGCGTTTAGAGAGTTTAAGTCTATTTTAAAATAGGTTTATTTAAACTTTGACGCTGGAATATAAATCCTAAAATATTTTCTTTTTATTTCAGGTTCGACTCAATGGCCCTAAAAATTATGATGCAGCTATGTTACAATTTGAACAATTAATAAATAATAAATATTTTATTTTAACGTTTATAGAAATATTAGAAGATCAAAAATCATTTAATATTAGAAATAAGTAAGTGAAGTTGCTATATTTGTGTGTATTAAGTTTACTTAAATGCAAACTTTTTTAGGGTTAATGTAGCGTCCTTGTTGATGGTGGTGTTGATGGATAAAATGGAGTATGCAACCGATATATTAAAGTGTTTATTACTACGGTTAGTCGAGAAATCTGTAAATACAAAACACCCTCAATTAATGTTACGTCGTACAGAGAGCGTTGTTGAAAAAATGTTAACCAATTGGATGGCATTGTGCATGTATCATTATTTGAAAGAATATGCAGGTTCTTCCCTGTTTCTGTTATTTAAAGCTATCAAGCATCAAATTGAAAAGGGTCTTGTTGATGCTATTACACATGATGCTAGGTATTCACTTTCCGAGGAGAGATTATTGAGGGAAAATGTTGAACACGGCTCTGTGGTAAGTGCTCGCTTAAATATTTATCATTAAATTCTGTTCAAAATGTCAATCAAATCCATTTCAGGATATCTAACAATAAATTGTTTCGAATGTTCTTAAGTTTTTTTTAATCTTCATAAAACTGTTTTCTTTGTTGATATCTATAAATGAAGCTCTGTAATAAAATAGTCTGAGTTTGAAAGGTGCCACAAGGGCATAAAGTCAATCAAATTTTTACTCAGATGATTTCTAAATTATATAATAAAATGCAAATTAGGGTTTATGCAAATGAAATCCATTGATTATTGATTACAGATCTTTCGATTCCATACAAGTGTGAGTTATCTTGTAAAGTGCTTCTGCATCCGTTTTGTTAGTTACTCCATTTTATGTAAACTCGCATTTTTTTTTTCAGACTTTGCATATTGTTCAAGACGATTTGGACGAAAAGATTCAATGTAAAGTATTGGACTGTGATACTATCAGCCAAGTGAAATCAAAAATATTGGATGCTCTGTTCAAGAACACTCCATTCTCGTTAAGACCATCAATACATGAAGTAGATTTAGAATGGAGGCATGGAAGAGGGGGTCACCTAACACTCCAAGATGAGGATCTAACCAGCAAAACAATAGGAGGTTGGAAAAAATTAAATAATTTAGCCCATTACGGTGTTAAAGAAAGTGCTGTTATGTCTTTGATTTCAAGGCAAAATGATAGTTTCACTAATTGCAAACAGCCTTGTCACAATTGCGTAACTGGAATGTATTTAAATAATTCACAAACTCCAATTATTCCTCATGCCAATGGAGATGTTGAGGCACCAAATCACCCTCGAGTATTTCATTTGATAAAGCCTATGGAAGATCATCACTGCCCTAATAGCCGGGGTCCTGAAAGGACGCACAAAGCCATTCCAGAAATATTTTTAACCAGATTATTATCCACTAAAGGCACTGTACAGAAATTTGTAGATGATTTCTTCATGACCATTTTGACTGTGAATGACGCTTTGCCACCAGCAGTGAAATGGCTCTTTGATCTTCTAGATGAAGCAGCTAGAAAGCATGGAATTCAAGATCCGGAGGTTGTATATGCGTGGAAATCAAATAGTCTTCCTTTGAGGTTTTGGGTTAATTTTATTAAAAATCCAGACTTCATTTTTGACATAAACAAAACTACTACATTAGATTCTTGTTTATCTGTAATTGCACAAACGTTTATGGACGCATGTTCCACTAATGAGCATCGTTTGGGGAAGGATTCGCCATCCAACAAACTCCTTTTTGCAAAGGTGAGAATTTGTTTATCCTGAAATTAAGGATAGAAAAATGTGAACTCCTATGCCTTTTTCCAGGATATTCCGCGGTACAGAGATATGGTGTCCCAGTTTTACTCTGATGTAGCAAAGCTGCCTGTGATAACGGACCAAGAAATGGGGTCAGCTATGCAACAGTTATCCGCACAACAAGCTGAGGAATTCGACACGGTGGCAGCTCTGAGGGAACTGTATATCTATGTTGCAAAATATAGAGAGCCTGTAAGAGACTATTACCCTTTTAATTGTTATTATTAGGTTAAAAAAAATTTAGCAGATTCAACTTTACACAATCTATTTGAATACCAAGAAAAGACATGAACTGCAATACTGTTCATGATTATAATAGGTAATTCTCAAAACACAATGCCACTAAATCAAAATTTGATGCACCACTATAACAAGAGAATCTCAAAAGTTGAATTAAATCTTGAATCAGCTGTTTTTGACCTAATTAGGTGGATATTACTTTTTTTTGACTAGTTATCATTATTTGATTCATGGAAAACTGTATTTGCCTATACTTGGGAACTAAAAAGTGTGGAAAAAGGCAGACCAAACCTAATTTATCCTGTGCGACATTTCAAAATAACTTTCTGAAGCACAATCCGCATGTGGCTAAATTCAGCTGGTGTAGGCACCGCGGTGGAATAGTAGAAAAAATACTGCTGTTAAATTAAACAGGGTTTGACATTAGCATGCATAGGTGAATCGATAAATCGCCACACCGGTGAAATTGCACCATTTTGGTGAATTTAGCCACACGCGAATTGTATTGACTTCGCTTCTTTAATCAATTACTTTGCTGTCGAACATTTCCTGGATTTGTTCGTCAATAATCTGTCTTTTTTTTTGTGACACTCTGTATGGGCGGCTTTTTATTGGACGAGCCTCTCCGACGTCTATTATGTTCTGTTAAGTTTGTCTTTCCCATATATGTTTTGTAGATTTTGCGAAAACGTCGTTGTATTCCAGAAGGAGTTTTTTGAGTTCATGCTGAACTTCTATTGTTACTTCTTCGCTCTCTTCGTCTTTTTCTGCTTGCAACATGAAATTGTGTGAAAGATTTGTCTCTGTTGTTTCTGCCAAAAATGCCATTGTGGTTCCGGCGTATAGAGCTACTGGGTTCCTTGTGTTTGATTGTACTTTTAAAATGAGGCTACCTTTGTTGGTATGAATGTGCATTTTTAGTTCAAGATGATTTTTTGCTAACCAGTCTAAATTATATTTGAATGTACGTAGTATTATCTTTAATCTCACTGGGTAATCTTTTTTTTGTACCCAATTTTATATGTCTTTTTCTTAGTTTCCGTTCCGATTTGCATCAGATTCCTGATTTCTTCTTCCTGAATTTCTTCTTTAGCTTTATACCCAGGTTTTTCCCTATAAATGTGAATTTGAACCTCTGTATCTCGCCCTGCATCTTTAAATAGAAAATATATCATCCGTTTAAATCTTGCCCATTCTTTTTCTTATCCCCATCCGTGTCTTGGGATGACTAATTTTTTGATGAATTTATTTTTTGAGATATTGTTCCTCAGTGCTGTAACACATTTTTACATGTTTCTTGGACTTGGCTTCTCTTTCATCGATTCTCTTGTGAATGACTGATTTTTTTCCTTGTTTTGACATCGATCGCTCCCCAATGGTCCCTTTCTCTCTGTTTTTCAGAATCATATGTTTCCATATCCTTCTTTCAGGAGACCGTTAACCTGGTCATCTTTTATGTGAATGTGCTCTCTTACAAACTTGTTAAACTCTTGTTTATCTCTTGAAGTATCTAGTCTAAGCTCTCCCGTTTTAGTTGGCTGTTTTGTTGTGACCAGACCTGTTATTCATTTGTCTTAGGGGTATCTCATGCTGACCATTCAGAATCAGTTTTTTCCGTGGGAGATTTATGATAGCGTTATTTTTTGTCAAAAACTCCATGCCTAGGATTATCAGTTGGGTTAATGATGAAATCTTTTTGTCGTTTAAAATGCCCTTCCATTTTTGCTTTCCTGGTATTTCTATCGAAACTTCAATGTCTCCCAAAATTTTTATCTGGTGTCCCCCTACAGTGACTAGAACCGTGTCGTCATTTCTTGTTAGTTCCTCTTTGATTAGACTTCTTTGTAGAACGCTATCTTGTGCTCCTGTATCCACCATTGCCGACATGTCTTAATTATTTAATCTAATTGTGATGTGCAAGATTCCTTTGAGGCTGGCTTCTGCATATTGTTGCAGTATGTCCTGTTTGAGTTGTGGCTTCTTAGCCAGTAAAAATTGTGATGATCTGCCTCTGTCAACCGTTCGCTAAACATCCTTACAAATTCTTGTATATCAAAGGTATGTGTGTAATTGTGGTATTATACTTGTAAATCGTACAAGTATTCCTTGACTGACTCATTTTGGCCTTGTTTTCTGTTTTCTACTTTTTTCTTGAGTGCCCTTTGGTAATGTATATCCTCAAATTCCTTAGGACAATCTTCAACAACTTTCCAGCTGTTGTTTTGGTGGTCGCGCTTATATTCCTGAAACCACAGGTTTGCGGCTCTGTCCAAATATGTCTCAAAATAAACAATTTTCATCTTTTCGTCCCATCCATTTGCTATTGCTGATCTGTCGTGAAGGCTGAAAGTTTTGAGGGCCGATAAACTGGTGGTGTTCGCCATTATATCAAAATGTTTCACTTTGTCTTTTGATGGTTGATGGGGTTTCGGTGCTTTTTGAAGGGTAAGGTCTGGTGGGCTGCCAAAAATATTGTCTTCTTCGTCGCCTGTTCGATCATCCACTTGGTTCTCTATCTCACTTTCAATTTGTTCTAAACTGATACTGGGTGACCCTGGTGGTGATGTTTGCAGTGGCCTACTTGACTGAGAAAACGTGTATCGCATCCTGTGCTATGAGCCGGTCTGAATGATTCTTTTGGTGACGTAGCTGCTACGTTTTTTGGCCTCAAGTTGTATTTTGGTTTGTCGGAAATCTATATCGCATCGGGACAGAGGCGGAACCACGAACAATCGCTATCATTAAGTTCTCGACAAGTTCTCACCTCGTCCACCCATCGCTCAACGTTAGTCGCCAAAATTGCCACCGCAAACGTTCGTTTGCAGCGCAAATGTTCATTTGTGGTGGCAATTTTGGACCCTAACGTTGAGCGATGGGTGGACGAGGTGAGAAATGAGGGGAAATTGTCGAAAACTTTTCGATAGCGATTGTTTGTGGTTCCAGTGCTGATCTTCGAATATTTCTGCTTTATAAATTTTGACTTCGTATACATTTGCCTTCGCCACGGTGTCGTGAATTTCTCTCTTGTCGACGTTACCGGGTCGTGGCGTGGTGTGAACGTTGGCTTGCTTTGAAGGCGCCTAAAGGCGTCGATTCTTGGGCGTCGGATTCGAGACGGCGCCTCCACCAAATGTTACAACCTCTCTGGTGACTGGGGGTATAGGGTGGATAGATGGAGAGAAACTCGCTCAGTTTTATTTTAAAAGGTGTATATTTGCTATGAAGTTATTACATGAATCCTCCAGGATGCATGCTCTTCCGTGGATAGGGCCCCACGTTTGACGCTACTTAGGACTGTTCGTTTATTGCTAATGTTACGTTGATTGCTAATCGATGTTTAACTGATCCTCATCTAGAGGGGCTTTCCCAGGGTGGCGGTACTTGCACTGGGGAGACTTGACTCCAGAGAGGTGTTCCCAGGGTGGCGCTACTAATACTACTGGTTCAAGTCTGCCTGTTGCTCGGCTTGGCCTGCTATTTATATGAATTTATTACTGCATTGCAGTAAACATCCAAATGAATCGGCAATTAAATTAATAAAGTTGAATACCGGGCCCTCCTTTCCTAAGTAGCTAGTTGACAATATGTTGTATAGTAATGCATACAAACTAAAAACACTAAACGATTTTTGATTTGCCTTTTTTGGTAGAAAGTAAATTAAGTAAAATTCAACAAATGTTGAAAATAACATTTTTTTTTTTTTGTTTTTGTACATATTTTAATTCAACAAACCAATCCTTTACAGTTGCTGGAAGCTCTTTCTTCTGATCCCGTATGTTGGCGTTTGAATTTGGCTCAAAAACTGGACAGCATCGCTTACATTCTAGGAGGCGAAGAGACATCTGGTTGCTGACCACGTGAGTCACCTGATCCGCTGCTGCCTCAATCGTTAGCGCCTTGACTGCGTATTTGACACACGCGTTGCTTTTGTTGACAGTAATATTTATTTTACCATATTTTCGTTTTCTGTTTCTCGTTGTTTTTGTTAATGTTGCACAAATGAAGAAATCACAAGTTAATTAATTTCAACTTATAATTATCCCGAGTAAATTTAATTTTATTCAAAAATCCGCCGCACTTTCGGAAAATAAGTGTGCAAACGACTCTACTTAATAAAGACTTATTATTTAATTTTTTTATTATTTTTGAGGAACTTAGTTTAACAATAATATTATAGAATTAAACATATTTTTAATTTTATAAAATAATAATATATTTTTAATTAATCTCATTATATCAGGGTAGGCAGCTTATTTATAGACATACATATTTATTAGTTTTTCTTTCAGAAGGGATTTCAGCTAGTTGAAATAAGTATAGCCTTCGTTCACTTTCACAAATAAATAAATTACATACATTATGTATTTTTTGTAAAGACTAATTATTTACGTAAAGCAAGCATCACCAAGCTTAAATTAACAAAACAAAACGAAAGGAAAATTCTGTTCTGTTAACAAAGCTATATGGCGTGTGCGTTTGATCGTATTATTCTGTGATATGGCGCATGATCAGGTGACTGTTAAATGGATGTGTACTTACCCTCCAGCGGTCACTAGTTTCCTTCCTGAGTGCCTCGCTACGCTGATGGGACGTGAAGTGGAAAAAGACAGTGTTTTTTTGCGCGCAACATTCGTTATGCCAATGATATTAATTATTATTAACAGCGCATTATAGTACACTCGTCGAATTTGGCTAATATATTAGGAAAAGACATTTTCTTGTCTAAATGATTTCAAAAAATTTCATATACTTATATATATATTTTTTTTTCGTTAGTTGATAGTTTTCAAAAGACTCTTTCCATGTGAACAATCTTATTCAATACATTTTTGTCTTCAATCTTGAAAAAAAAAATTGACAATGAGACTAAAAGTAAGAGTGCGTTTTAGATTTTTTAAAATAGGGAGGTTTCATTTACCTTCTCAGAATTGAAACTATATTACTTGCAAAGTAAGTGTATGCAAATGATAAACTAATAATAATTATTATTGTTGTAATCACTTTTCCATGGCAAATGTCAAGAAAAATTTCAGAATTTTTCGTCCCAGAGTTATGCCGACAAAAGTAAAGTGAAAATCAAATTTTATGTAACTGTCCACATGGAAAAAAGTTCAGAACCATTCAAAGGTTAATAAATTTTTGATAGCATTCAGTGTTTCATTTCTTCAATATCCGGCATGACCAAATTAGTTCACAAATTTAATCGGTTTAGCGGCACTTCAAAAATTCATTTTTTTTCTTACAAAAAGACGGTCCTAACAATGCATTCTTGGGCTGATGAAATTTGAGTTAATTCTTTTTATTTTCACCACATTTATGTGTAATAACAAAGTTTTTCTTATAATTTAATTTGATATGATAAGATTTGCCTTTTTCTAAAAATATTTGTAAGGGCCTCAAAATGACAGTGTAGTGTATCGTTCGGTCCGGTTAGCCTAGTTTTTAAGTAGATATAGACATTGATTGATTCTACGTGCATGACTGATGTTCAACTCAATTTTTAGCTGTAAAATAAATATATATTTTTTTTATAGGTTTAAAGTACTACAGTTGAAGTTTTTGTCATTCTAGCAGATTTACAATTTTTAGAAAAATTATTTAACATCTTATTGAACAAGGTTATTGTAGATCTACAAGCAATGTAAACCCTTTGGAAATGGCGACTACTTTTAAAGTGTTGAATACCAACTGTATTTAAAAAAGAATAAACAAAATTCTCATTTTGTTTTAATTCAAATTTTAAGAATGTAGTAACTAGCATTATCAGTTCTTTTGTTTTTTTTTTTTTTAGCTTAATATAATGAAGAGTGCAATTTAAAATACAGATTGATAAATTATAACTGATATAATATTTAATATAATACCTAAATATTCTATTCTAGAAGCTTTATCTTTTTTAAATATAGTTTTTTTTTTGAGATCTTCTATAGGATACGTGTCAAAAAGACTACAAGGTTGGAAAGGTTTTTTAATTCTGTCAAATATTTCTGTAATTTAGTGATGGCCAAATAGTTGTTTAAATTTTCTGTAGATTAAATTAATAAATAGAAGGTAGTGTATTAAATAATAATCCATGCCCTAGATATTTTTGGCAAAATTCAGACATTCTCTAACTTTGTATATATTAATTAGGTGACTAGACCTCCTCCTTGTTCCAGTCTTTAGTTAAGAGCGTTTTTTTTTCTGTTATTCGAATTAATTTTTTGGCTCAATTTTCTCAAGAATCTGATGTTGCAGTTGCAGCAATGGCCTGTCACCAACTACCAAGTAATAATGACACATAAATACATATTATGTGATGACATTTTCTAGACTGTAACATAACATGTTTCAAAACGAAATTTGATGGAAATTGTTAAATAATTCTATTATGTTTTCTTTTGTAAATATATGAAATGTGCATATAGATTAATATATCGGGTTTATAAATTAAGCATACATTCATCAATATTAGATTGTGTTAGGACAAAATATTTTGAAATTTTACTCATGTACATGTAGGATGGCCTCTTTGAAGTGTGATATTATGATAACAATGATTATCCCAACCCCTCCCACACATGAAAATCTATTTTTATTGATATTGCTGCAATTCGAGTAATAATATAATCGAAAAATGGCGATGAGTGCATTTTGAGGAGGCCTCAATTTTTTTTAAATAAATATTGATGTCTCAATTTTAAATAATTATTATAAAATAAAGAAATCTTAGATCAAATACACAGACTGTAAAGCATTTTTTACTTATTTATTCTTTTTTTTTTAATAAATTATTCTCTTGAATTTGTTTATGTCATTTATAGCAGCTTTTATTCTCTCTTTAATATGTTTCGGTAATGTGATCGTGAAATAAAGCTTTTTATATAAAATGTATTGTTTAGTGATATTTTTTTACTCTATTAAACATGTATTCCAGATTTTTTTTGTTGTTTTAATTATTATTTTCTACCTTTTTTTATTGTCCTATCCACAAATTCCTGATATTGTTTTTTATATCTATTGTATACAGGGTGTCAATTTGAAAACATCCCACCCCTATTATCTTGGAGTAGAAAAATTTCCAAAAAAATCCCTGAAGCACCTCAACCATAATTTGAAGGGGGATGAGTTTTTATGCAAAATTCACCTCCCCTCTTTTAACCCCCCAACCCCCAGAGCCACCCTCTAGAAAATCTATATATTTGACGTGTTTCAGGAATTTTTTCAGAAATTTTTCGACTCCGAGATAATAGGGGTGGTAAGTTTTAAAATGAACACACTAAACTGTATAAAATCAATAAAAAAAAAAGAATGCCTCTACTCGGGAGTCGACGGAATTTCTGTAAAAATATTGAAGAACCTACCGGACATCACGCTTGAAGTACTGGTATCATGTATAAATTGGTCCTTAACAGGAATTTTTCCTTCATGTCTCAAGTCAGCTATAGTTATATAGTCTATCGTTTCTCAAATGAGACAAGGCAAAAATTGAGGTCTCCTCAAATTATCGTATTGCCCGTTAAAATTATTATACTATTTATTAGGAAAAATATATTGGGCGTGCCCGTATACATTGAATGCGAATCCACGTGCGAACAATGCATCTATTGGTTGTTTTATACAGTCAACGTTGACTCCAGGAATATCTTATTGGTTAGAATTTTTAGCGGCGTATTTGGCGGCATATTTCTTCGACGCGGCGGCGTCTTTAGCGGCATATTTCTTTGTAGCGGCCGCCGCTTGCGAATCAGTTTCGTCTGGAAAGACAGTGCAGTAGATAGTTTTTATAAATTTGATTTCTATTTGAGTTGTATCGTGCCTCATGTTTTATTTTATATAAAACTGTTTTAATAAATTTCTCTTACTCCGACAGTGCTTCATAAAGAAAACGCCGACGGCCAAAGGAATATTATTTTTTAACTGTCTCTTTGACTATCGATAGACTATACCAGTCTTTAAAGGAGGCGATAGCGCTAACCCATCGAACTTAGGCAACATTGCAAATATTTGAGCACCCTTTCCAAGATCATGGAATTTTTTTTTAAAGGATCAACTGCTTCAATACTTGAATGAACATAAATAACATCCTGGTCAAAATCTGTTTGGCTTACGGGGGTCCAGGGGCACGGGTGATACCATCTTTTCATTTTTGGAGGGTTTGTACCTTGGTTTGCATGAGAGGAAGGTTGCAGCGGCAGTGTCTGTGATTTTTCAAAGGCTTTCGATAATCGATACGATTAATCATGGAATACTGCTGCGGAAGCTGGGTCATTGTGGTGTCCTGGGGACCAAGTCATCAATGCTTGCTCAGGCCTTATGAGAGAAATCAGTTTGTTCGGACGGATGGTGTTGATTCGGCTGCACAGGGAATCTTGCACGGAGTGCCACAGGGTTCGGTTTTGGGGCAGATTCTGTTCCTTATCTACATTAATGACTTGCTCTCTCTGCCAGTATCTGCAAGGCTGGTAGCATTTGCTGACGACTCAAGTGCATTATGGACTACAAAATAACCAACTTCAAGGCAGTTATAGAGAGCGATCTCTTGGAGATTAAGGGATGTTGTGATGCCGATATGCTTTGCTTCAACATACAAAAAACAAATATACTGACATTTAAGTGTGCTCTAACTGACATCAGACTATAGGACGAAACATTAGAGAATAGAACGACGGTCAAGTATTTGGGTCTGCACATTGATTCCCAGTTGAAGTTTGAGCCTCACATTAATTGCTTGACAAAAAAATTAGCGAGTGCCCTGCTATATCATCAGAACTCTTTCTCATTAACTTGACAAATCGGCAGCGAGACGGACATACTGTTCATTATTTGAAGCACATGTGAGATATGGAATAGGTTACCATTGCCCGTTTCAAAACTGTTTCGAAAAAAGTGGACTCAAGAAAACGGCTCTTGTGTTTTGTGTGGTGACATGCCCCTCCGAGGGTGACGTTTTGTTTCTGGTGAACGCAGCCAATGCAAACTCGCGCCAAACAATTCAAAAATAATAAAATGAAAACGCTTTCGGGATGCTGGCAACCTTGCTGGACCGAGACCTTCAAAAAGGCTGACGTTAATAATGTCGGAGGATAATACACACTACTATAAGGATTGCTTATTGGCCTCGTTTTTGGTAATCCCGCCATATTGGTGTATCACCATTGCCGACGTCATTAACCAAGTCGTCAGCTGTTTGAGCCAGCGGTCGTAATTTAGAATTTAATTTATGATGAAAAATATTATCTAATTTTGATCACATTATGGTGATCAAATTAGGAAGATGCAAACGAGATGTAAAAAATAGTTGTTGTTAATTAAATGTAGTAAAACTAAGTATGCATATAAAGCAAAAGCCCGCGTAATCATAACCTGTGGCGCAAACAGCCTACGTCAAGGCGAGAAATGACATGCTGTCTACGTCACAACGGGTGATTTGGCGTGGTGGGGAGCTTCACTTTTGTTCTACACAGGCCTTATGAGGATAGGCTATCCTGTAGTAGAGGTGTGTATTTGTATTATCCTTGAATGAGGTCGACTGTACCAAACCAACATACGTCAAAAACCCGGTTAAATCGTGCTTACTTCGTTACGTTACGGCTGTTTTGAATCTAGCTTAATATTTTTATGTCAGATAAAAGCCTGAAGCCTGTGATGTACTTGAATTAACTAAATTCATAATCAAAAAATATTTGTAGGTAGTCTAAAAAACGTATCTAGAAATCTTTCAGTATTTGGAGATGATAGGGATAGTACCAACAAGGCAAATCTTCTTGGTATGAAGTACTGCTTTGAATCTTGTCACATTTAGCTTGCTTCAGCTCATAATCCAATTATCAGCTTTATTTTAGATTAACCAGGCTGCTTTGGTCTCGCTAAAACTGGTCATTAAAAAGAAAATGAGTTACAATAGATTCCTGCCTGACAATGGACTGCCAGTGCCTAATTATTCCAATTTCTCTGGGGCACCCATCAATTTTTTAAGGTCTTTAAGCGAAGCCAATGTTCACTTTATGTAAGGACAATTTATCACTCGTTTGCATGAAAATAAAACAATATTTACTATGTGTAGTGGAGATCCCCCTGAACAACCACAACCTCCACCTGGATATACCTCTGCCTTTCCTATAAGCTCATATAAATTGATGTGTGGACATCATTCTAAATACAGGTAAGTATTAGTATTATAGTAAATTGAAATGATTAACAAGTGCTTTTGGATATTTAGAGACTATGGTATTAGCTCAGATCCTGAAGACTACCAAAAAACTGTGAGTAATGCATTGATGGTGGTATAAAGTTATTGTGGTTTATATTAGGTCTGTACCAGCAAAAATTGTCACATAATTTCAAATTCGTTTTACATTACAATATCAATAGTTGATAATACTTGAGAACCTACCTATTATCATTTAAAATTTTCACAAGATGGTATGTATAGGTACTGGGAAAACCACACAAGGTAATTAGTGTATATTGTGACAACCAGTAACACTTACTTTGAAATTTTGATTTTGCAAGTTTTCAAATGGTCATAGCTCGAGTCATAGCTGCTATATTGTAGACCAGATAATTTATCAACGCAAAAAAATTTATCTTAATTTTAGGTCTTGATTGGTACTAGAAAAAAGGTTATTCAATGCAGCCTTGACACTTGACGCTTCAATTCCAAGATAATTAGCTTTTTCAAAATTTGACATAATATAAAGCTTTATCTTCAGGGTTATATATCCTAAAAATTCATTGAGATAATCTAGAGTCATAATTGAAATTTGTAAAATATTTTTATACAGTTCTAAGGCATTTTGTATAAAACATAACTTGAACAGAAATCATTTTGGGGTTTTTTGAAGCCTATTAAAAAGTTGAAAAAATGCCTTTTCACTGAATTTGTTAAAAGAATTTAAAACTTCCAAAAAAGGCAAGAATTTATGGAAAGGTTCGAGTGCTATAATTTGTGGGGCACAGAGGTTTCAATTTTTGATAACAAATCATCAATAACAAGGATTTGAGGCGGACCGAGAGGTAATAAAAATTATAGTAACTATATTTTTTTCCACTCATATGCACGGAACAGACCTAATGAAGCTTATTTCATTAATTTTGAATTTACTTTTTAGAGAAACGCTATTTCAAGAGATTGGATTAATGTGCCAATTCGCTTTCAAAAAAATTCAGCATTTGAAAAAAGTTTCAAGTTCAGTGTGATGTCATTTAACGTATTAGCTCAAGAATTACTCCAACAGCATCCTGATTTGTATTGCAGACATAACCATTTAGCTCTCAAATGGGAAGAGAGATGGAAAAGAATACATGAAGAAATTTCGAACTACAGACCGGACATTGTGTGCTTGCAAGAGGTGCAGGAGTCTCATTTGAGCGAGTATTTCTTAAAGCAGCTTAAACTGTTGGGCTACTGTGGCATCTACAAAAAACGTACGGGCTTTACATGCGACGGGTGCGCCATCTTTTATAAAATGAAAAGCGTTTCGTTGCTTGAACATGTGACCGTAGAGTTTATGCAGCCAAACATTCCTCTGCTCGACAGGAACAATGTTGCAATAGTTGCGGTGCTTTGCCCCAAAGGCCTACCAGATAGTAAGTTTGTTGTTGCAACAACCCATTTGCTTTACAATCCGAAACGACAAGATGTGAGACTGGCTCAAATGCAAATTTTACTCGCCGAAATCGAAAGGCTGAGCTTCCATTTGGACTCTAAAAAACAGAAAAAATACCTTCCAATTATTCTTAATGGAGATTTTAATGCCACCCCTACTTCTTCTTTGTACGAATTTATCAGTAAAGGTCATTTGAAGTATGAGCATTTGGCTGCTAAGAAATTGGATGACAAAGGGATACCTTGTCAAGGACCTGTTTTAAGTAAGTTTATATTTATTGAATTATGAAAATTGGAGATATAACGCCTTCACTGTATTTAGAACTGATGTTCCTTAATTTTTCTAACATCGGCATTATTAAATTGCTCATAGCTTGTACAATAAATACTTAATTGGGATACAAGGGTAGTCTAAAGGGATGGAGGAGGAGGTATGTTTACTCCCCCAGAAAAATGGGTTAGTTTTGCTAGCCTCATAGGCTCCAACATTTTTTACACCTATTGCAGATTTTACTCAGATTTTTGGAAATTTTATGATAATTGCCTAAATCAACTAATTACTCAAAAAATTTCGATGCACAGAAATTCCTCTAATAATTTTCAACATTTCTGAAAAATTAGGAATTGATTCAAGTACGTACTTAAATTTGTCAAAAGTTCCTGCAGTGAATTTAATAGGTTATGATTAATTTCAGATACGACATTCAGTAACAGTGGTTCTTTTTTTCTCTTAGAATCAAGTTAATAACACCAACACCCTTTTTGAAAACCAAAACTAAATTCAAAAATCAAGTGACATTAACAACCATGTTTTTCATGATAAATTCCCCATGCACATTATTGCCCGCCAGGAACATAGAAGTATGTTCTCAGTATTCACAGAAAAAAACTAATTTTTCTTTTTGTTTTAATTCAGAACATAAAATATGTTTATTTAATTTGGAAAATATGAAGCCACATTTATTATTTGGCAGAATGAAAGTTGAGAATAGAAGGGTTACTGGAACTTATCATTTTTAATACTTGTACAGAGTAACTTTTGCATTTGCCAAGTTATGCACCAATGACTTTGTATTTTTTTGCAATTTCACATAGAGCAATTTTTCGACAAGTAGCGTTATATCTACTTTCTTTATAGTTTTCCAGGGTAAAATTAAGACCTAGTATTTCTGACAGCTTTATACTTTTAGTACCATCTGATCTTCAGATCACAGACAATTGCCAGCATGCACTCTTAGTAGAAGTCCGCGATGCATATTATAAAACGTACGAATCGAATGATAAGGACAGCAAACACCATGAGTACCTTATGGGGCTATCAAAAAAAGTAGATTTGAACAAGCTTCATCGCAGTGCCAACAATGTGTGCAGTCCGAATTGCTCCTCTGTTCGAAAAGAAAATTTGTTTTCTACTGGGGCTTTGTCACACCTGTTTGCTTTCAAATCGGCGTATAGGCATGGCGATCCGGCCAATCCCCAAGCGACTACGTTTCAAAACGAATGGGTTATGGTCGATTATATATTTTATAGCGGCAAAAAAAAGAATGGTCAATTCCGGGATGACAAATTGAAGCTTAGCGGCTATTTGAGATTGCCGTACAGATCAGAATTAGAAGGATTTAAAATACCTAATGATTCGTTCGGGTCCGATCATTTCTGTCTCGTAGCTAAATTTCTATTGAACACAGGACCATAGGTAACATTTGACAATGTCGGGTTTGTTTGAACTACTTAGACTCATTGTATGCTTTTTTTCTAGTAGTTCAAATTGACTATTCTTGTTTCAGTACAAAATACATTTGGTGATTTTTGAAATAATTTGTGATGTTTGTTTAAATAAAATAAGATTTTTATTTTCTCAACTACTGTCTTTCTGTTTTTCCCTCATCCACTAATCCAAACTCAACCGGCGATTCAGAAACCTACTAATTTTTTTCTCGAGTTTGCGGTACCTATTATTGTGCCTTTCCTATGTAGTCAAAGCAAAAAATGCTTTATTGAATAAAAATATATGCAACTCATTGACAAAGCTGTTCAGAAAAGATTTACAATAATAAACATTTAGGGTATAAACTGAACTAAATTTGAACAAGCGAAAAACTAAGATATGAAAATAATATAGAGAAGTACAAATGAGCTCAGTTACTTAATTTCATCCACGGAACACGAACTAGAGCAAGTGAACTTGGATATGTAATTTTATGATTTTGAAGTGAAACTTATAGTGGAGTAAAATCACAATGAAATTATGACTTTGAGTGATTCCGAGGTATAACCAGATGAAACCTATATCATCTTGTAGAGGACACTCTGCGGCATAGGAAATGGGAATGTACAACTTTTTTTAGTAGGACTGAACTTTGAAATCGGCCCTTAAACGTGACTGAGCTCGAATTTGAAAAACTACGTTTTTCTAAACATTACCCGCTGTATTAATTTAAGCATACAATCTAAAATTCTGATTTTTTGCACACTTATACTTGAAACATGAGCGCTTCTAATGACAGTTCAGAAATTTCGAAAAGGTTTAAGGTTTTTTTGTTAAAAAGTTAGGAATATAGAATTATCAAAATCGTGCATCTAAAACTTGACCCTGCGGCGAGCCATGTGAATTATTGAAAATTTCTATACATATATATTGAATCAAATGTAAAAACATTGTCGAAGTTTTTGAAAAAAAAATTAAGTCGCTAACTTTAACGGTTATAGAAATATGAATTTTTATCCGGGAGCTTTAATTGCGCTCTGATGCTGAAAGCGGCTAGCGGCTATACCATTCAGGAAATCATCTGCGTTAGTGCGTTAGCGTTACATCTAGAAATAAAATAAAAAATCTATAAACATAAGTAATTGATTAAATCCTTTTTTCTGAAGTTAGTTTAAATATTTTCTCCTTCGTCATCCTCATATAAATCAGGAATATTATTTTGACAACTTTTGCAGGAACAATCGCTGCAGCATGTTGAACCCTCTTTCAAGCAGACACATTTATTATTTTAACATAATTTATCTTCGCCGAAGACATTCATTAGTTGCCTTATATCCATTGGTATGGGATCAGCAGTCATCAAAACAGGCTCAAAAGTTCCATTATTCCTAGTCTAAACAAAGTTAACAGGGTCAAGTATAGGCATAATAGGTATATGACTGGATATCCATATACGCAGTTGGTATATGCACCTAAAATTTTGTTTATCGCATAAATACAGCTTCTTTTGTTATATATACACCTAGCTCAGTGCATGCTGGTAAAATGCGTCATCTGTGGGTAGAAGTTCAGAAGCGGATTTATTGGAAGTTGTGATCAATTGATATCTCAATTCATCGAGGGTTTTTAGGGCCTCGTTCTTATTTCTGAATAGGGCCAATGTAAATTTGGTGGCAATATAAGGGTCCAAGATTTTTAGAAAATACATTTTTTGCCTTTGCATTTGTGGTATCGCATCCTGTTGACACTTGCAGCGCTGGTAAACATTTATAAACTTCATATTCCAGTTTCTGCACTATTTATTGGAATGATCCGTTTTTTATTCCCTTGTCCTAATTCCATAAAAAGGTTGGTTTCTTTCAAAGAACTTACTTCAATAAATTCAGAATAGTGGTAAATAAGTAATATCAGAAAATTTGCATCTGCAGACTTCACCAACACTTTTTTTTGGTGAAGTATCTGATATTCATATAAGACGTGGAATATAATAAGTCATGCATCAGTATCATCATGATTCGATTTCAAATTTTTCAATTCGGTTACACGGTTACACCATTCTTATTGACAGAAAAGCATAACTCTGGATTTTCAAAATCACCAGCGATGATCAGAGTTTCTTCTATTTTTCAACTAAATTTTCCAAAATATAACCAGTTACAAATTTCAATAGGGATTCTTCATTTTCTGACAATTAAAAAAAATTCCGAAACTTCATCACTTTTCTCTTTCCATAAACTTCATACGCATACGTATCTGCGAAGTTACTTCTTCTGCGTCTGTCCAAAGACTTGACCGATTCATCTATTAAAAACCACCGTTATCCTCAGTGCTTCATACCTTCGACCAAGTGAAAGAATTTGCTTCAGAAAAATACATGCGAGTTCATTGAAAGTTAAGTTGAAAATGCTTTATAATTTAGTCCTTGAATAAGTACCATGCCATCTATTATAAGTGAATTGAAGGGGGGGTGAGACGTGAAGAGAAGTTTCAGTGCGAAAAAATCTAAGAACAAATATTTGAACCGCATCTTGCTACGATGAAACGATTTCGAGTATAAGGGTGGTTCAAAGTGACAAACGCCTAGGCTGTGACGTCACACTGGCTTCGGAGGCACAGTTAAAATATGTGTAAAATTTTCCAAGACAAAAGTCAACGATCTCACTTAAAGCAAATTGCAACCACTTAAAGTATAGGGCACGGTTCAACCACTGAACAAACAGAAGGCTATGATTTCGGCGGTTAGCCGGTGTGACGTCACAAGTTCCCGCAAAATTAATTTTCTCGGATAGTATGTTGAATGAAAGACTGCGGTTTCCACGGGAGATCTTAGATTTTTTTTCTTGATTTAAGTAGCTTAAGTTGCTTTTTTTAGTCACACCTACTTTAACATCAGTTCGAGGTGAAGCAACTGTTGAATATGGTTCAAACTTTGATAATAAATCAGACTTAGCTGTTTTTCGCAAACGAACCCACAAAACTGGAAAAGTCAAAAAATGCATCTCTCGGTGAATGCACGAACAATTTCGTCGCGACGCGATTCAAGATGGGCTGAGCGCGCTCCAGGGCTCTTGGATAAAAAATTATATTTTTATAACCGTTGAAGCTAGCGACTTAATTTTTTTTTAAAAAACTTCGTCAATGTTTTTACTACATTTGATTCGATATATATGTTAGAAATTTTCAATAATACGATTTTGATAATTCTATGTTCCTAACTTTTTAACAAAAAAACCTTGAACTTTTTCGAAATTTCTGAACTGTCATTAGAAGCGCTCATGTTTCAAGTATAAGTGTGCAAAAAATCAGAATTTTAGATTGTATGCTCAAATTAATACAGCGGGTAATGTTTAGAAAAACATAGTTTTTCAAATTCGAGCTCAGTCACGTTTAAGGGCCGATTTCAAAGTTCAGTCCTATTAAAAAAAGTTGTACATTCCCATTTCCTATGCCCCAAAGTGTCCTCTACAAGATGATATAGGTTTCATCTGGTTATACCTCGGAATCACCCACCCTCAGAAAACAGCGAGTTAGAGCAGTGATTTTATTCCACTATTAAGCCTACTAGTACTCCATAACTGCGAGGCTTTAGGCGGCGATCTGATATTTGGACGACAATAGTTGTATTCCTTTCAAAAGCTTGAAACACTCGAGCTGGTGCTTAGTCGCCCCCCGATTTGCAGGGAACAGATGCGTGGTGCAACAAACACTTTTCGAAAGGAATAAGCGCGTGAAGCCCCGGAGCTGTTCCGGAGCTCCTCCTAGGTGTGAAAGGAATACAACTAATGGGGAGTGATTTGAAAGACGAGATGCGTCACGTTTTGGCAAATTTCGTTACACTAGAGAGAAGACAAGAAAGATATAGGGTGCTGCACATTTTTTTTTTCTAATCGGTTACGTTTACAAACTCCATAAATTTGATGAACTAAGGGTGGGTATTATAAAACTGCTTTGACAGTTAACTTGAAGTTAACTTTTTGAATTACATGTAATTCCAGAAGTTAACTTCAAGTTAACACTCAAAGTAGTTTTATAATACCAATACCCGCCCTAACACTACGATAAACTGTTGTTTTTCTGAATTTGACATTTATGTTTTCGTGCTGCAAAAAATTCTCCGCAGCGTGCGGAAAGAGATTTCTGCCCTAGTGCAAGAAAATCGATTTTCTACATCAGAAGCAGTGCGCACGCTCCTAGAAAAATAAAATGCAATAGCAAGGCAAGCAAAACGCCCTCAAATTTTCAGAGAGGAACGAAAGTTGGGGACAGAAAGAGATTGGTTTTAAACAAATTAAATCCTTTTATTTTTTAATTCATGCAATAACTGGAGTAGTTAGGCAAGTAAGTGGACAATTGCCATTAGTTTACCGACCTCTGGCGGAAACTGCAATTGCCATCCTATTTTTTATTGGTTCTTCAAAATCCTATATATTCATATTCGAAAACGCCACATATTTTTGCTTACCTGTGCTAATTTTAAATATGAATACATAGGATTTAAATGGACATCCATCATAAAAAAATGAAAACAACGTATTTGATGTACATGTCATCTTTTTCGTCGATTTGCTCCGAAATTTTGACAGGCATGTGATTTCTAACTTGATACTGTCGAAATTGTCTGATCCAGTCACAAACCGACGAAAAAGATGACAAAAATACAGAAACAAATACAGCTCATATTTTTCTAAAACCTCTACTTCTTTCACATCGATATTAGTTGTATTCTACGAAGGCGTAGAAGGGACACCCAACTTTTTTTTTTCTCAATTTTTGAAATTTCGACTTATAACTCGAAATTTTATAGTAAAATTTCGTGATATAACTCGAAATACATGGGCGCCGGCAGCAGGGTGCAAGGGGGTGCACTTGCACCCCCCTGTCAGAAATACATTGAAAACATTATTTTTATTTTACTATTATTATTTTTTTTATTAGTTACTGTTTGAAAAAATGGGCGAAAAGAGAAACGATGGCCCCCTCGCACACTTTGTTCCCCGCGACATTCCACGGCTCACTTCCGGCTCGGATCGGGTTATTTTATTTTTATTTCGCGCGCCATCAACCTGTAGAATTGCGGGAATTTCGAATTTACTCAAATTCTAGTGTATGGATATAAATTTCTTTAACTTCTACGATTTGATATCCCGAAAAAAG